GGGGGGAGGTCTACCCATTTTGCCTACGGAATGATTCGCCGGCCCACGCACCGCGCCGGGCTACCGCGCCGGGAAGGATAACGACCTCGACCACGAAATCAGCAAAACTCGAAATATGAAGCCGTGCAGGTGATGGTACAGAATGCGAGGGAAATGAGATAACAAAGTTGCAAAAGCCGAGATAGTGTGCCCATTTTCTGCATCACGTTGATCTTAGCGACGAATTTTTCAAAATTTTGGCGCCACACGCTCCGGCAAGCGTTGAGTGGCGACAGGGAAGTCCACGAGCGGGAGATGAGCCCAGTTCGTCGAAACTTTTTTCTTCTAACGGCCATGAGCAGGTTTCATCTAAGCGATCATTTCTCTTCTAAGCTTTTTTCTTCTAAAAAAGGGTCGTTTTTGTCCTAAGCTTTTTTCATCTAAGCTATTTTCATCTAAGCTTTTTTCATCTAAGCTTTTTTCATCTAAGCTTTTTTCATCTAAAATAAACCCTCCGGACGCCGCAGATATCCGGAGGGCATCACAAGGTAAGAGGCAATACAACACGTTACTGTTATCGATTCTGTTATCAGAGATTTAACTCAAGCCGGTACACCTCCAGATCGCAGTACCTTGTACTTCTTTCTGCACCAGCGACATCGCGTGTAATTGTGTGTTATGTGTACGATAAGTTCACCACGAATGTAACAACAACAGAGGATAAACTTCGAAAGCCTCCGTAAGCGCTATTTTATACCTTGGCATATATATCACGTGTGATTGTGTGTACGATTAGTTCACCTCGAATGTAACAATAGAGCCAGACCTTTTGTATGCATGGCATAATGTGACTCCTCACTGCTCTAGCTACAGGTTTCCTTAATAGGGAGGTTGGGGTTGAACTTAGAATCAAGCAAAAAGTTCTTTTCAAAACATATTTATTTATCCACTTCACTCAAGGCATGAATTGCACAGGACTTTAAGAACTTTCGTTGAATCAGACACAGGTTCCGGAAACTCCTAGTAGACGCCGCGACATGAAACATAGAAACGACAAAGTCACTCCTCCAAATATACAAGTAACATATCTTAATGCAGTGACTGTATTCGCTGAAATTGAATACAGCTAAGGTGATTCTCCACCGATTAAAATGTTTAAAGTAAGTCTGTGGCCTCTATGCAAGTCAACATCACGCCAAACAAGATGGAAATATCTACGTGCACCTTAGAAGGAAACGAATATTAAACTTATTTTATGTTTGGGATAGAAAACGTGTTATAAACAGTACAAAAGGCGAACTGGAAACAGATGCCTTTCGGGCCCATTACTTGAAATGACGCAGTGTGTAAGGCATTTTTTCAAATATTACGTTTAGTCTTAAGACTGAAACCTCACTATCTATTCGTAGAATATTGTAAAACTCTGTCAATTTACTGTTAATTAGATGGTATCCCATGATGCTAAAATATTTGCTGCCCCTACGAGGTAATGTTGGCAAATATTTGTTGGATTGTACAGTTGAGACCGCAAACTAAAATAATACGGGGCCTTCGGCCTTACTTCATAAGTACGCTTACTGCACTTCTTCAATGATCGGTTCAACCACACTTTGGGAATGGTTGGGTTGTTTGATTCACTAGCCAAAGCATTAAAAATCCATAGCAAAACTTTTTTCCAGACCTCAGAAGGCAGTATAGGAGCACTATCACCATAGCTCGATTTCGTTTGACCACTGGGGTTATAGTAGGTTGCAGAGTCTGTGCAGAAAGCTTAACAACAATATTTATTTACCAATGTCTATGCACTTTATCAGACTTTGGAGGGGGGTGTCGGACAGCGAGCCTTGATGGGAGTCGATTGTCACGATCCGGATCACATCAAAGTAAAAATAAATCTGCTATTTCATCTTGCTGGAAGTTGGAGTAATTTCAGGACGACATGTTTGCATGCCAACAACACTGCCCTGCCTCTAGAATTTATTTTCACGAATCGTACTCAAAACTGTGTGTATGCTTGCCTTCGATGAGCACCACCCACCCCCCTCTTTCCTCGCGCTCTCTTCCTCCACCTCCCCGTCGCCCTTATCGTCCGCTGCACCGCTTCTCAATCCACAATTCATACATTTCGTCTCGGCTCGCTTTTGACGAAGGTTTATTAAATTCTGAACGGGGTTTTATAACCATTAAAAAGTCATTACTATCACATATGCAAATTCTCAATTTCCTCCGAGTGCTGTAGCCTAAAAGAGATACTTTATCTGTCATTGGGTGGATTCAATTTGAATAATATATGTTAAAATAATGTGTTGCATTGCCACGGCATTCTTGTCTGTAAGGTCAAACATTCAAACATATAATGTATCTCCCAGTGTACTTTAGCAATCTCTGAGCAAATGTTTTAGAACTTTCTAATTAGTACTTTCTTCTCACTTGAATACTGTGGAGCCTACAAGTTCAATCAGAAATACAATCCCAATGTCAAAAGGACGGCCAACTATTCACAGATAGGATGTAAAAGATTGCACAAGCTCATGCTGATTGCCGTCGAATAAATCATCTGAGCACAAGTTAAATTCTGTTAAACAAAACGCGCGCACCTATTGTTACAATTGTTGTTACAATTGTTCCTGCTACATACCATGGAACAGTAAAATACACAAGTCTAATTATCATATATAAATATAGACTATCATTATTATTAATAAATATTTTTCTGTTCCATGGTAAAGAAAAGGAAATATTGTAATGATACATGAGCGCGTTGTGTCTAATAGACTTTCATTTGTTCACAGTTATTTATTCGATGGCAATGCTTGTGCAATCTTTTACATCCGATGTGTGAATAGTTCTCAGTTCTTTTAACATCCTGATTGCATTTCTGGTTGAACTGGCAGGCTCCACATAGTCCAGATGAAGAGAAAATGGTGTATTACCGTGCTGTTGACGAACAGTATTAAAACATTTGCTTAGAGTTTGCTATGAAACACAAGAATATATATTATATGTTTGAATGTTTGATGTACATACAAGAATGTCATGTCAATGCAACACATTATTTTAACATGTATTATTCAAATCAAATCCATTCAATGTAAATAAGTCAACGTAAGTCTAGGCCGCGGCTCTCGGAGCATATTAAGAATTCTCACATGTGACGGTACTGACTGTCTTCTGTTGCTGTTTTTAAAACAACAGCCCGTTCAGAATTTGATAAAGCTTCGTGCTTCGTCATGGGCGAGCCGGACCGAAATGTATGAATTGTGGATTGAGAAGCGTTGCAGCGGACGATAAGGGCGATGGGGAGGTGGAGGAAGAGAGTGTGAGGAAAGACGGGGGTGGTGCTCATCGAAGGCAAGCATACACACAGTTTTGAGTACGATTCGTGAAAATAACTTCTAGAGGCAGGGCAGTGTTGTTGGCATGCATACATGTCGTCCTGAAATTACTCCAACTTCCAGTAAGATGAAATAGCACATTTATTTTTACTTTGATGTGATCCGGATCGTGACAATCGACTCCCATCAAGGCTCGCTGTCCGACACCCCCCTTCAAGGTCTGATAAAGTGCATAAACATTGGTAAATAAATATTGTTGTTACGCTTTCTGCACAGACTCTATAACCTACTATAACCCCAGTGGTCAAACCAAATCGAGCTATGGTGATAGTACTCCTATACTGCCTTCAGAGGTCTACAACAAAGTTTCAGTATGTTTTTTTTTATTAAAACTGTGGTTAGTGAATAAAAAAAAAACCAACCATTCCCAAAGAGTTGTCAGACCGATCATTGATGAAGTGAAGTGCATTTCTAAACCAAGGCCCCGTATTATTTTAATTTATGGTGAAAACTGTACAATACAACAAATATGTAACAAAATTACCTCCTAGAGCCCGCATATATTTTAGCCTTCAAGTATTCCATATTATTAACAGTAAATCACTTTAGTTTTACAATCAAATACGAAGTCATTGACGTTTCATTTTTAATACTCAAATTCAGCGACATTTCAAAATTACGACTCAAAGTGGCATATGTTAAATTATTATGTTAAATTATAGATACCTAATGAGAGCGATGTCATAAAATCTCGCCCTCTGGAGAGTGGACAAGCAAATTTATGTTTATCAGCACTCCAAGCAGAAAAAATAGGTCATATGTGAAACCTCAGGGCAAATAACTAG